TAGTGCGGTATGTGACTTTAGATTTTGTCTCTTGCAAGGGTGAAGAATTTGGCTATTCTCATCAATACGGTTTTTCCGGGGTAGTCGGGTAGATACCATAAAACTGAAGAGATTTTCTTGTTTTCCAAGCCATTTGGGACTTTCCCGTTTAACGACCTCAAGAGAGGACGACGGCAAAACAACCAGATGGCTATACTGATAGAGTCTGGCTGTTAGCTGACCATGGATCATCGGCGGTGCCACGTTAGTAATCGGATAGCTCCCGCCAAAGGTGATACCTACTAGCACCTCCGATCGACCTCCATACTTGACGTTCCTAGTTTCTCGCCCATCGCTTGCTACCCGTTCCGCGACAACTCGTCCTAAAAACAAAGGCGTGCTGTATTTTTCTGATGTTTCCGTTCGTCATCAGCGTTTCTCATTATTGTCTGCGCCTCGATGAACCTCGTGCTCCCTCACTCCGAGTGTTGCGCGCGTATTGGTCATCAGAACGCGACTGCTGCCGAGCCGACCCCTCACACACACAGTGTAAAATATGGATTGCATTTCACTTTAGCCGACGATCACACCCTGCATTCGCGTTTTGCATTATGTGCACAGTCCATTAGTACATGTACTATTTCCCGAGCGTTCATTGGTGTGTCGTAAGAAACGTTTCCCTATCGCGTTGTATTGGTCGTGTTGGTCGTTACACCATAGTTGTTGCTCGTGAGTTTTATATCCTCTTACTTCTGCATCTTCTCCGACGAAATGGCGGTCCTAGCCTACTAGCCCACTCCGGGCAAGACACTCGAGTTTAATTACCTTTCTGGCACTACCGTTTTATGGCACTCTCTTCCAGGATCCTAGGGTGTATACCACGGTCTGTAGGAACCAATCAACTTTCAGCTTTGATTATTTTTCCTGCTTATCTCTTATTTAATGTTGGCATACTAGTTTAGGCACTATTTGAAGGCAGTTGGCACGATAAATCCCCCAAGACGAGTAGGATTAATACGCCTGGCAGGACGGAATTCCGCGACCCTGAGCAGGCGCTGCATAATGCCTTTCCCAAGGAAGGTGCCCTATGAAGCTACAACATTACGACCCGAACGCCCCCACGCCCGCCCGCCCACAAATGGACGACCGTTCCTGACGCTCGTACTGCTTCATTTGCTAAGTAAATTATGAAGCGAAGGGATTGGTATGAAGCGGCCGTGATGCTGCATGGATATATGAGTACACATATGCAGCCGTACCTTCGGTAGCGGTTATTGGCAAGATGCCTACGGGAAACTCGTCCAAAATCGATTTTCAAGTCACTGAGAACGGAGGCTCTTTCTTCGCAGGATTTTGACCGTTTCACTCCGTTCTTTCGCCATTTCCCCACTAGCGCCCTACTAGCATTTTAGGCCGAGCACCAAATCATCGTGCCAACTGCCTTTAAGGGAGGGCAGAAATTGTTCAACCACCTGGAGGCAAAAGCCCTGATCTTCTGGCTCACAATTGTTTCTTCGCGCCGTCCGCCACCTTCTCCTTCAGTGAACGATGTTGTTTGCCGGTTTTTTAATCTCTTGACTGCCCTGCGCCAAAATGCGCCAAAACACCATAGTGGAATGGCGCCTACTTTGAGGACATCTCCACCCGTATCATCTCTACCTCTGACGTCTGAGATGGAAAGTTCATCTAGTTGCATTTTGATCGTTATCGTTTGTTTGGAGGCTAAGGTTCAATCACCTATGCGGTACCCGCTTTCACATAGAGACCCCAAATAGTGGATAGGGTACGACCCTAGCCTCTAATCAGGACGATTA